GAGAGTAGGATGGAGTGGGCAGAAAGTACAGAATGACGTAGAGGGATGTGGTGGTGGAAGATTTGTTGGCCGGCGCAAGCTCACAGAGGTTTGCAAAGACCAGATAGGGCCGAGATGAAGGGTGCAGGGCGTTTAAGAAGCAGAGAGCAAAGGAGGCGTTTCTAGGCAAAGCAGAACTGCAACGGGCCGTACTTCATCCATGCAACGCGATCTTGCGCCCCAGAAGATTCACCAGGGGGATGCCAGCAAGCGCCCGCGGAGGGGAGACAAGCGCGTCTAGTACAGCGTCTGCGCTTTTGACAGGTAAGCGTTAAGGTTTGGTCTATATTCTCCGAGCGTGCACAACGCGGGCTTGGGCTTGACGGAGGCCGGCCGAAGAAACAGAGGGGATGACACTACGCCGCAGACTCGAGGCACGAGCCGGTGATGAAGCGGCGCGATCTGCTGCAGGCCTTACGCCGGGTGCGCCATCAGAGCATCGCCGCCGTCTCCACCATTTACAAGGCCAGAGTCGACGCAGATCTTGCTACTTGTGACCCTGTGCAGAAACGAGCAAGGATGGCAACTGTCTCTCGCCCATTCTGTCGCCTGCATCACACAGGCTAGAGGAGAATTACCTCATGTGCCCTCCCACACGACGGGCGCCGCAGTAACCTGTCAAGGTGCCATCAGCAACGGGGCAAGGACTGGCGGGGCTAAGAGAGATCGTCTGGCGCCTGGCTGGTTGCGCTCTGCAGAAGGAATCTCTCGGAGCCAGCCTTGCCATATGCCGCCACAACCTGCTCTACTGTGAAGGTTTGTTGACCCGCTGCGCGCAGGTAATGACACGGGATTGATGACAGAATGGAAGTAGGTGTGTCCGTGCGAATGGTGAACCCGACTACAAGTGCGATAGTTTGAGGCATCGCGAGTGGGACCATATCTGCGCAGAGCTGTGGTACAGTACCACTATAATTGCTTGTATGGCAACCGGGAAATCACTGGCGCGGCGTATCGTGGGGACATTCTGCGAGTTCGGAGAAGCGCTCGCAGCGCGAACGACCATGTGTGCCGCTGTGCCCGTCACCCAAGGAGAGGGCATTCCGGGCAAAGTGAAGTGTTGTGCGCCCCAGAGCCATGCTGACGGCTTTGCTCCCACGCCATGCGAGGGCAAGCATGCCCGGCGGACAGCTGCAGCAGGACAGAACCGGGCTGGTGGCTGGAAGGTGGGTGCTTTGTGCAACAAGGCCGTCCCGGGGTCCAGGAGCGGGAACCTCGCTGCTGTGTCTGTTGTGTCTGTCGCTGGAACGGGCCTAGCGCCAGGGCTGCGAAATGAAGGGCTCTTGGACGAGGACAAGCACTCGAGGGCGTTCACCAGGGACTACAGAAATACAGAAATAGCAGTGGTAACAAACCATGTCCGTCGCCAGATGGGGTCGACGACGATGCACAAGCAGCCGAACCCTGTTGCACCATGAGCCGAGTGGGGCCCGACCCTGTGGTGGTGTTTGACTCGCACAGGAAGTCTCTCTCAAACAGCAATTGCGAGGATGGTCCTTGGGTCGATAGCGCATCTGCGAGCCATTGCTATGGTTGTGGTAGCAGCGACGTCACGGGGCCCAGGGCAGCCGGGTCCAGCAGCGCAAGCAGACGCAAACGACGCATCGAGCAACGGCGGCTGGGCAACAGCGAGCAGCGCATGCTTTTGGCCGCGGAGCCATGGAGCCGGACGACATGGCAGAAGAAATATGTCGCGGGAGCCGCAAGCCTTGGTTTGGAGCGTGACAGGCGAGTGACAGTTTGGGGGATGTTTGGCGATGGCAGCGCGGCCATGATTCGCAGCAGGGATGGTCGCACCTTGCTCAATCGGGGGTCGTGCCTGCCCGAGATGCTGATCTGCTCCCGCTAGCCGGGCGATCAAACCGCGTCCAAATCGGAACCAAACGGGCCAAACAAGGCCAAACAAGGCCAAACTGCGCCGTCCGAAAGCCTCGCCGCCAGCAGCCAGCAGCCAGCAGCCAGCAGCCAGCATCGTGAGCTGGCGCCGGCGTCACTCTCGCTGCTGCTCAGCGACAGCAGCTGGCGCACGTCGCAGGTACTCAAATGCGCAAACTATGAATGCGCCCACGCCCGCCACCCCCCCGCGGCCCTCGATGTTTCGTCTCCTTTCCGCGACCGGGCTCATGCTCGAGTCTCTCGACTCTCGAGTCACATTCCCATCTCCTCCACCACGCCATCCTGCCAGTCTGCCGTCCTGCCATGGTCTATCGCGCGCGACGGCGAATTCGGCAGGCCTGCCGGACTGCGCCAGGCCCGTCTGGTGTCTGCTCTCTAACCTGCGAGTCGCATGCGTCGCCCAGCCGTGCTCCCCAACTCTTTCCTGTACAGGTCCTGCGTCTTGACCGCTCCCAGGCTCGTGTGTTCCTTCACGTCCAGCACGACGTCTACGAGGACCTGGTCCGCGGGCAGAACCAGTCACTCGGAACAGTGCCTTCATTTCAGCCCCCAAAGGAGCTGTTGTTACCCCGCCAAACATCTCAAGGCCTCGCACACGCTGCGATGCCACCATGCGACAGAGCACAGCGTCGCACCGCACCAGTTGACCGCCTGACGTCCCGTCACTCTGCTTTCCTGGGCGTGCACCGCTCGTTGCTGTGTCGCCAGCCACTCTGATGGCGCAGGGGCTGTCAACCCACTGTGGCGTCGCCTCCACTCCACCTTAAAGTCGTAGCCTCAGGGGCAAGCCTCGCCATGCTCGGCTGATTAGACGTGTCAATAAAGCCGTTCCCGGAGACCCGTATTCGCGACCCTGTGCGTGGGCACAGCAGCGTCGAGCGCAAGAAACACTGGATGCCAACCTGCCCTGCTGGCTATCGTCTGGGTGCGAAGATCCTTGCAGAGAGCCCTCGGTTTGTTTCGCCTGTGCTCCACCCTTCGATCATAGCTGCGCAATGGTTACTGTCACTGTCATACCACGATACGCCATGTGCTCCTCCGACGCAACCTCGAGCCTGCTCTCCAAGTGCTGTCGCACTGGTCTCATCTGACGACGACGACGACGACGACGACGAGATTGGCCGGCCTTATCGCTGAACACCTTACGTTATGCACTATCTCATTTGCGCTGCTAACCATGACGTCTCACTCCACTCAGTTGCTTCTGGAAAGAGCATCGTTGTGAGGACCTCAAATAGCCGCTCACTGCCATGCACCCAAAGGTTTGTATTCGAAAGTCATCAACAAGTGTACGAGATCGATCGAGCAGGATGCAATCGTCGGAAGACAAAGAGCGGTGGACCTCGAATACACGAGAATGACATTGAGCGCATGGTGACATCTGTAGCACCTCTATGAGCCTTACATTTGGTCGTCGGAGACAATCGTTGGCCCATGGCTGCGGACAAGCATCCCCGCGACATGAGCGAAACAGATGGGGCACGTTCGGATATGCACAGATCCAAATCCAGGTGAGGGGATCTGTAAGTGAGGTGGCACAGGTCATGGGTGTATATACGCCCCCCTGCCTTCCGACTGGCTGGCACTCCTTGTTCAGCAACGAACATTTCCTCTTTACTTGGGTCTATATCTTGCGGTACACAACAGCTGAGGATACCCGGTAGCTGGAACCAGAACTGCATCTGCAGCATAATTTCGTTGCATACATGATGCTGTACACGAGCGCTCGCCACATGCAGCACTTCCAAGCACTTCCGTGATACTTCCGACATCGCATGGCCGGCGCGCTTCGTAGATTACCCTCCTTCCACGTCGAAATTGGTATCTCGGATAGTTTCACTTCAATTTGTCAATGCTAGGCATGACATCTCTAGATGTCTGTAGATACTTGATTGTTCGCCAATCTAAACTCAATAGCTCGCTGAGACGTCGTAGGCGAATCTAGCCGTCTTAGCTATACGTCAACTCAAGGATGTAGGTCGAATTAGCTTGTGAGACAATCTGTCAGCTTTCTGCTAAGCAACGCTCCAGGCACTGGTTGGTCTCGTGTCAAGATCAATTGCTTCAGGGTCAAGCTCTATTCAAGCCAATGAGAGTTCCACGGGAACTCTACCTCTTGTTATATCAAGGCCGCCACATGGCGTGGCCGTGCCAGGAACGGGCAAATTATCTCTTCTCCGCCGCGCCCATCGATGCTACAGTGGCCAGCGATCTCTTCGCAAGTGCTGCTATTCTAGACTCAGTTCTAGTGGGAACTAGATCACGATCTCCTATGGCCATTGGAATGAATTGATAAGCCATGATAGACGAAACTCTCTGTTGGCTTGATTACGTGCACCACGACTACTCCACATCACGATGCACGGGTCTGGGCACGTGACACCTTACTTGCACGGCTACTCCACATCACGCTGGACGGTTCTCAGCATGTGGCACCTTACTTAGCCTCTCAGGATTTCTCTCTTGTTCACTCGATTCAGTGGTCTAGACTGCCTTTAAATGATCGGGTCTATGCCTTGCCATCAACACAAAAATGGATGATAAACTCGCTGCGGTATACCGCTATTATTTCATATCGCAGTTCCCGTGGACCCTCCAAGAGAGTACCATGCAGAAACTCTCTATCGGTCAACGCAAAAGGCCTGCAAGTAACCATAACTCTACTGAAGAAGATGATAGACGCTCCGCGGACATCTTCCCGTGTGTGACAAATATTTGGTAGGGTTTGTGGAGATTGACCAACAGCAAAACTATCGACTGATGCAGCGACGAGTTCATCGTCGGCGTGCTCGAACCGACGCATCGATCAGTTGTTCTCGAAGGTAGCTAAGTTGTACTAGGTCCGCCATTGAACAAGCTAAGCTTTCTCTCTGCTTTTCATCTACTAATGGCCCGGAAACGATCTCATCGATCTACGAATAAGCTAGTCGTCGCATGCAGCCAGCCGCATCCGCTCTTCTGTTAACTTCCGACAGTTTTGGCGAGACACAGCCACAAGATCTTCGTCTAACCCGTGCCGATACTACCACATCATGCTAGAAGCCCAGCTTAAACACTTCCGCGAGAGACTTGCTTGGAAGCAGCAAGAACAGGCGATACGGCATGTTACCCCTTACAGTGCATGAACGCCATCGACGCTTGCTTGAACGTGACCAACCGGAGGCACCCACGTTGACGGCCTTTGCTACGCGCTTTCAAGCAGCGAGCTACGTGCCGCTGTCTTCGCTTGATATGCCATGTCTGACATGCGCCGTCATCAGTGTGACAGTCGGACATAGTCCAAGGTTTTGTGTTCTATGGAGGTCTCACTGAAGTTTCGACGATCGTTGAAACTACCACTTTGAGACAGGAAACTTTCGGGAATTTATTATGCATGTTCCCGACGGTTTGAAGATTTAGCTTTGTGGCTTTCATCCGAATTGTTGCAATCGAGGCTCGAACATCACTTGCGGCATGAACTTTATACTACAAGCCCGCCGCAAAACTGCAGAAAACAGTACGAGTGGCAGCAAGCTGAGTAACCTTGGTGCGAAGTCTATCCTCCCGTTGCGAATCAAATCGTACCTCGGCCACTAAACTCTCCTAACGTTTAAATTAAACTTTACCTCTTCTTGCACATTCCCCACTACCGGTCGATCAGCATGCTGCCGATTGGCTATCAGTGAGCAACAGCATCCTGCCGATTGGCTATGAGTGAACAACAGCATCCTGCCGATTGGCTATGAGTGAGCAACAGCAATAGCATGCAAGGGAGAGGCGTTGAAGTTACATCACATCGATGGACCAATGAGCTTGCCTGTCTGACACACCTTTTCTCAAAGAAATGCGGAGAATTATACTGCTGACCACATTCCGCCACGAAATAAATAGTGGCTGAATGCCCAACTTCAGCCAATTGACGTCACTAGCTCTTTGCCAGCGAGCGGCACGCAGATATCTCCGCTGAGTCGGCGCGGACGCTATCTGCACACTTGCATCCGGTCCACTCGGCGAACTCGCCGACACCGTAGATTTACGTTCCCGCTGTCACGATCGGATTTTGGTTCGATATAGCAGAGAAGCTACCTGAAGCGATCACAGGGCTTAAGGTTTGAAGTTTATGCATGCTAGACGAGTGGCTTTTCAGTTGCCGATTTACAGTTGGAGCGAGGCGGAGAAGAGAACTGTGATGGCATTTGGGTTTGAGAGTTGGTGTAATTTTGTCATTCTGCATGAGAACCGGGTTTGGTCAGGAGCTCAGCTAGGTTCCTATGGAGGCATCTTTGAAACAGCGTAGACGAGCGGTCTTCGTCCTTGTGACATGACATGAGTCGATGCCATTGACCTACTCCTTAACCGCAAAGGTTACAATCATAAATGTAATTTCGTGAGGACAGTCAGCAGATTTGCTTCCCTGCATTCCAATTGACGGTGCAGCAATAGACGCAGACCCCTCATCACCCGCTGCGCATGTACAAAATATGAGGGGATTGCGTTCCAAGTACTTTGAATCGAAATTGAATTGATCGTACGCCTGCTTTCAAATTAGGGGAGATACTGACTACGAAGTACAAGTGAGCTCAAACGCGTGGAAAGCTTGTGCTTGAATTTCGGTTACCGATCGTATCAAGATAAATATGGTCACTGAATTGAGTAACTACCTACAAAGCTGTTTCCTCAAACCCTCTTAGAAAAGTAGCGATAGTAAGAAACAAAGCAGCACAATCGATAGTTACATGAGATGAGAATGAAGGAACCTTGGAAGTGAACAGCTATGTCACGTGCTAGCCTAGCCTGGGCAAGAATAGCCGAGCAGGGCTCAATCTTGGGATAGACGACGTCATCTCAACAACACACTGTCTTCAACAATTCGCATCCGCATCGCAATCATCCCAGTATTGCGTCCAGATCACTGCATTCCTAGAGGGGATTTCGAAAGCGTCTATAGACGTCTCGGCACCTTCCAGTTCGGTGTTCTGATCAAATGGAAGGCCACACCGGGGATGCGGAGCCTCCATGGTCGCTTGCGGGGTAGACAGGGACCACATATATGAGCCAACACTTGTGTAAGAAACAGTATACAAGTTATATACAAGTAAACCATTGAACTCCATACTATACACGTACAGTCAGCGAGACATCTCCACATCACACCAGATCACTCCCACACCACACCACACCACACCACACCACGATGTCCACCCCAGCGCAAGCCCTCCGCGAAAAACAAGCCCCAATCAAAGACAGCTACCGCAAAGACCCATCTTCCGCTGTCGTAACCCTCAAATCCGAAGGCTCGCTCGACTCCTCCTCAATCACATGTAAACTCTCCACCGGCGCAGCCGCCAAAGAAGCGTCGCGCGTCGCAGGCCTGCACCCCAAAGCCGGCGGCGACGACCCCTCGATCTCCGGCGAACTGTGCTCCGGCGACATGCTGCTCGACGCGCTCGTCGCGTGCTCGGGCGTAACGCTCAAGGCCGTCGCGACGGCGCTCGGCATACCAATTGCGTCGGGCACGGTGCGGGCGGAGGGGGATTTGGACTTCAAGGGCACGATGGGGGTGGATCGGGCGGCGCCCGTGGGGATGACGGATATTCGGCTGGAGTTTCAGGTCACGTTTGGGGAGGGCAGGGAGGTTAGCGAGGAGGAGGTGGAGATGCTGGGGAAGTTGACGGAGAGGTATTGTGTTGTGTTGCAGACGCTGGTGAATAAGCCGAGGGTTGCGGTGAGGTTGGCGGGAAAGGATGGGAAGGAGGAGGAGGGTATTGTTAGGGAAGTCTTGCATGGGAGTATCCTTTGAGCGTTGTCAATTTAATTATCTTGTTTATCTGACAATTCTACGTTTTCTTGATCAATCGGAGGTCCGGTGATACCGTAGTCCTCCGAGATCTTTGCACTTCAGCTATGCGTAGATGCCAAGTCGCCATTCGTGTCGTCGTCTCGTGGTTGCTTTGTAGCCATGAACCCCTTCAGAAGGAGAGCTGACGCAGCCACCTAGGAATTTCTGTCCAGTTTGTAGTCTTTGTCAGGATCGAAGTCCTTGAAGAATCCCTCCCAGTCCTCCTCCGACACATCAGCGAAGAGCACCTTTTCCCAGTCCTCGTCTTCATTTTCGTTCTTTGCATTCTTTACCTTCAGCCTCGTGTAGACCTCGAGAGCCTCCATGAAGATGGGTTCGAGTGGCTTCCCATCCTTCCGGACCACGACACATGAGCCTAGCTGACCTGAAGTTGCTTCGAATCTCTGAACCATCCACGATATTTCCAAGTTCTCTGGGAATAGCTCGACTTGGCTCTTGAGATCAAGAACCATCATAACCGTATTCACGCCGCCTGGGACGACTGCGCCACTGTTCCGCACTGCAATATTTCGACCGCGCCAGCACAATGCGTGAGGGATCTTGCGGATGATGATCGGGACGCCAATCCTGTCTGCCATATCGCTGTTGATGTCGCTTTGCTCGGTGCACAGTGATCTCGCCACATCCACAGGCTCCATTGCATTTCGGCAACACATAATCTCGTCTCCAATGCAATTTATGCGCACGCCCTTGACCTTGTCTTTGCTTCCCTTGGTGCATAGTTCGAACTCGCGACCAGTCTTGTCGTGTTCGTCTCTCAGATTATCGATAACATGGCGAAGATGAACCGGTCCCAGATCGTAGACTTGATCTTGCCAAGCCCCGCCTGCTGTACCCGTGGGCCAATTTGCACCATCATTCCCATACGCGATAAGAGCGCCTCCAGCCCAGTCAGACATCTCCTCGTCCACTTTCAGCATGCTCTTGTTTGCGTGCCCGGCTTTCACCATGCCGTCCTTGTTCAAGCCACAAGGCCGTCCCGCAATGATGACCCAGCCCGTAAGCGGTCGCCGCAAAAGGAAGTTGAGGCCGAACTTCATCAACGGCTTTAGGTCTGCGCAATCAGCATGGAGGGAGGAAGAGTCTACGACCGTGCGGTTTGATTCGTTGGGTCCAAAGTGGCGCATCCAGACGAACTGCGGCGTATCGCCATGCTCGGGAAAGTGAATGGCGCGCCTGTATATGTATTTTCCGTGCGGCTGGGGGCGTTGATCGTTTGAAAAGTTCTTGAAGGATTTGCAGAGCAACTTGTGCAGTGACCAGTCGGTTTTTTGACACAGTTTTGAGCAGTAGCGGATTGAGTGGCAGCCACTGCAAGCATGAACACCCATGTTGTTACACATGGCGCAGAGCTCTTCGGTCGATTTTGGGTCGGCCATTTTGGCAGGGATTGTGTGGTTGGGGTCCCCTTGGTAGAGAGGTGCGGATGGGAGTTAAGGTGGCAGGCGAGGATATTGTATTGTGAGTGTTTACACAAACAGATATACACTCTCGCCGAATGAACTAGAATCGCTAGTACGTCATCTCTTTCACTTCGAGCAAACGCAGACACCCGAGATTTTACCAGCCGCGTTGGCATTGCCTTATACCGAATACATACAGATGCTTGAAGGCGAGCTCTATGTTGACTTTGGTTACAAGCGTGTTCTGCTCACACCCTCTGAAGGCGATCTAGAGATCCCCGCTTGGGCCAGGAACCGAGTTATACCATTACCACCCTCCGAAGACCGAAATGCACCAGGTTCTTACTCAATGGTCCCGGAGCAGTCGGATTACATGCTGGATGCGATCTTCTACGAGAATTACTACAGATACATGGATCACGCGTTAGCTCCTGGTGGTGAAGGTATCAGTGTTATACAAGTACTTTGCGTAAGTCTCTTCCTTTCTGTGGCGTTGAATGGTCAGGGCTCAGTGTCTCACAAATTCCAGATGTTCGACCGTGGCGGCTCATGCCTGGCGCTGCCAAATTCCATACCATTCAGTCTAACTCTTTCCAAGGCGATGACTGTAGTATTTGGCCGCTGGTTAGGAGTTATCCTAGGTTATCAGCCATACTACAAGGAGTGGACTACTGATAGGGAGACTGCCAAGCAGCGTATGAGCACATCGATCTTTACGAGTCGCTTCGTACGCGATTGATTAGGCGGCCGATTTTTCTCTTTGAAGAGCTCGCAAAGCTTCTATAGGAACCTGAAGCTACCACATATTCATTTTGAAATTGCAAACATAGGCCACTTGGATTTGCAAAACGACATGCGGCTCGGTGAGGGAAGCTCGGCTGCCATTTTTGCAAGAATACACAAAGTAATTCCTTTGGACGGTACTTGTTTCAATGGGTGCTTCTTTGACAACAGCTGGGGTTGCTGGCGGTTTGGTGGTTGGCCTCTTGCTGGCTGTTGGAAGATTGTCTCTGTCTTGGCATTCATGATAGCGAACGTGGATCTGGAAAGGTCGACGAGTATTGGTTGTCGCTTTAGCTATGGGTTTTGGTACACTACCAGGGCAATTGGTGGAGGATTGATCTTGCAATACTTTTCTGTGTTGGGAGTGTCCTGACGCTTGGTGGCTTCTTTGGCGTGTTTGGAGGGAATTGTTCCTAAATCATTCTCTATCCGATAGACTCTCAAGACTGTTGTAGAATCACATGTGCTGGCACATAGGAAAAGATGATATATGTTAGCTCATTACTTGTGGTGGTGGTGGCTTAGCGTGTGCAGCTCGGGACGCGTCGTTCCAACAGGCGCGTAAACAAGCCGATGACGTAGCAGCGAGCGAACAACAGGAAACAGGCGACTTGGCCATCCGAACAAGATGTTGTATACATATCTACGACTGAGACTGGCCATTGACAATCCATAACTCAAGATAATGTTTTCCACAAAGGCAATTTCACTGCGGGCTCTGTCCCGCGCGCCGTGCCGGGCCAGATGTCCAGCAGCGAGACGGTATGCGACGAACTATGATCAGCGCACCCAGGAAACGCTAAAGACTTCATCGCGATTGACGTGGTGAGTATATGTATCTAGAAAAGAAAGCAAACCATACTGATTTTTTAGGCTTACTACAGCCGCCGCTATCGGCGCCGCAACTCTCTACTACACCACGACCTCTTCTCCCACCTCTCCGGCCCCTCCAGCCTCCACACAACCAGTGCACCGCCACGAATCCGCCCAAGCTTCCTCCGACGCCCCGAAGCCCGTTGAAGACCGCCATGGCGATACTGTCGCTAAACACAGCATCGCAGCGCACAAGAACCAGAACAAAGTGCGCGAGGGCAAGTTCTCTGGCAAGGAGTTCGATAATCACGTGCAGACGCATTCGCCAGGGAACCCTGAAGGCGATTTTGAAAAGAAACAGTAGGATGGTTTTAGCAGAGACCAAATCAAACTCCGACACCAAAAAGTGCTGTAGTGACTGTGCTGTCGCTCGTTCATTGGTGCTGTGTACGAACACGACAAGACATAACTTTCCACATACAACCTAAGAGCACACCAATCTGTTAGCTTGTAAACGTCGACATTAATAAGGCAGCCTTTTGTCACAGGAAGTCGTGTACGTACCATCACTTGTACATGACATCACGAAGAGGAGGTGCACTACACATCAATAGCTCCTTAGCGAATCCAAATAGGGACAGCAATTCAGCAACGTTCATTATTTGTACTTTGCCCTCTCTTGTAACATGCCATGCGAATCAAAGCTTTCGCGCAAAATCTAAGCAAGTAGAACTTTGGATTCGGTAATGACGATCGACTGTGTAGTATTGTGTTACTCCTCAGCTTTGAGATCTAAGCAGTTTATATGTTCATCATCAAGTGCATATATCTCCATGGCCATGAACATGATCGAATGCTCTCAAAAGTCCGAACATGTGCGCAATACCAGCGCATATGACAAAACAATGCATGATCTGGTGGCTTGCGCCCCAAACGTCGAATCGGTACGGATACCATTTCTCTGGGATCTGCAAGAATCAGCGCAAGTCCTTTAATCCCTCATCGCTCTGTGCTACGCACCCGCATGGCATATAGTGCGCCGCCGGTTAGATTGAATGTTGTCATCAACGCCATCCAGTCAAGACTCATCCTCCACATCTGTGTCTCCCAACCGAATATTGATATCCCATGGACTATAGGAATAATGAAGGACAGGCCTAACCCAGCATACATGGTGGCTCGGTAGGGTCGGTACTATGAAGGGAAAGGAGACGGAGTTAGTAATGACACAAATACATCGCATTAGTGACGACTCACTTTTGGACGCCGGAACGCTGGGTGTAAAGTAGCGTAGACACAACCGGCTGCTAGTACTGAGACGAGGCTATAGTACGTTTTCTGCAGCGCAGGCGTACAGTAGAATCCATAGTATACACATGGTACTGTAGAGCCCCACATCAGAATGACGATACCCAGCTATTAGAGTTAGTTGACAGCGGATAAACTGATAGCGCCTATGAGAGTGGCTTACGTAGTCTAATTGGTTACCAAATACGTGCACTCTCGCACTGTGATTGTTGAAGATGTGAAAACTGTAATTGATGTCAATACGTAGAGCTCAGTACTCGCGAGGGCAGTTGTCTCACATTGCGGAAAGCGCGAAACATGTTGCCACTCCAAAGAAGAAGGTCGAAAATACGACAATGTCTGCCGTTGTGGCGGTGTTGTACCTTGGTTTTAGGCTCCTGTATACAGGGACTGGGAGCGCAAGAAACAGCACGGATCCAATTAAGTGAGAAAATATGTTTACTAAAGCATATTGAGTACCGAATCTCATGTACAAACAACATTGGCCTTACCCGTTTCATTGTGAATGCCGAGAATACTGCCGATAGATCGTCGATAGGACTGCGACACTGCTCTGTAAAACATCTTCCGTCAGTAGAGATCGTTATGAAAAGGAAGAATCGCAAATACCTGTAGCTTGAGAGAATGAATTCGTTATCCCTTGAATATTTAGTATGAGCACATAAGAGCTTCACGTGAACTTACTGATACCACGCAGCTGCAAGAAACATTAGCACGTTCTAACTCTCGGGATCATCCGTACTAACGTATCTCGTCCCAGGTCAAGAGAGATGCAGACGTCATTTTGACCATGCGCTTCGTGGGCTCAGCCTTGTTGGTGTCAACTATGCATTGGCGCCATGAAGGGCGAGCATACCCTGTCCTCGGCACTCCTTGTGGAATTTTTTTTTCGCAACCGTTGGCTCATTTTAAGCAGCTTTGCAATGCTATTTGGTCAAAGGTAGCTCCAGTCTGCCCGTCTTAAGAACCTAGGAGAACGTTTCTCGACATAGACTAGTGCGGAATCGGGAAGGCACGCGCAAGGATCTGGGGCAGGCGAAAAGCGGGCGTCTAAATCTCGCTCCTGCCATCACCACGAATCAAGTACTTAAAGTTTAGTTGTCCTCTTCGATAATTATTGTGCTTAGCGCTGCATGGTGTCCTTGAAGTTTGAGGTCGACGCAGTTGGGCGCCAACGCAACTTTTGCTCATTGGTGCGCATACACGCCACCCTGCAGTGTCTCATTGCATGAAACCTGGCCTAGTCAATTTTCAGTCATGTCACTTGCCTAAAGTGCTAATTGTGTAGCCTTTCGGCCCCAAGTTGTTACTTTTGACAGGCTCTTGATTCCTCCTTATCATATCCAAAATGGTAGGACACAAGTATAAGCGGGGCATTCCCATCCAGCTTGACCTTCTCCAGATCCTTTCGGCCCGGCTCAACTTTATTTGAGTATGGCTCAAATTCTCCGCCACATGCTCAGCCTGATATTCGTTGTATCTCACTTCACTGTCCACGTCTACGGACATGTTATGGCAGATGATACACGTACTGTGGGATTCGTTCAAGAAGACAGTCAACGGGATACCATATCGCTACTTGTTAGCTGTCTGGCTACCCTTGGACTTTGTATCTATTCAGCCGTTCATCTCAACGTTCCACCAAAAGGCGAGCGTTTATACCAGATACTACTCGAGGAACTGAAATGGTGCATCATTGGCTTATTCGCGCCGGAGCTGATACTATACACTGCTTGGAGGCAGCTAGCTGCAGCAAGACAACTGTGTTTTGAAGTCGCACAGGCGAAAGCCGATAAAGAGGAGCGACGTTTGGAAGGTGGAAAGGTATTTTCAGCGGCTTTTGAGCATGAGTAGATCTGATTTTCGGCCAGGTCGTTCTAGTGCCTACGCAGAGTGCTGCTATGACATCAAAAAATGGCCCTTGGTCAATCGCTCATGGCTATTATGGCGTGATGGGTGGCTTTGCTATCGATCTGGACGACGGCGATGATTAGTACAAGCATCTATTCGGCGACATCAAACGACTGACATTGACTGCCAAAGGCGTTGCCCTGCTGTCGCATTGTGGACACACTCCAGAAATATCAATTGACGACATCAAAGACAAGAACAAAGCCGATGGTCTCGCGAAGCTACTTGTGTGTGTCCAAGCTGGGTGGATGATTGCACAGGTTATAGTCAGGTCCGCCCAAGGACTGCCAACGTCTCTGCTAGAAGTGCACACCGTAGCTCACGTGGTTTGTGCTTTGATCATGTACGTTATATGGTGGCACAAACCTCGCCAAGTAGCGTCGCCGACCATTCTGAAAGGAGAGTGGTTGGGGCCATTGGCAGCATACATGTTCCTCGCTAGTCGGATGAGTGGTGAGGCACCGACTGGCATGATGTACATGTTCCGAAATGCGACTCCGGAACTAAAGAAGCTCGCTTACTATGAGGAGACCGTTCATGAAAAGGATATCCAACAGATGATACATCGCCAAGATACAGCGCACACTCTTACTAGTGGTCATTTTCGCCCTCGCCCCCAGTTATCGTCAGCAACCCATGCTCGTATACCTTCTTCGCCCGGACCAAAGAGTGGCACTAGAGCCGCTCTTCTACAACTCGCGGTCGAATGCGTCAATCTTTATCCTGCGCTACACTCGCGCTTCATCAAGTCTACGGATGAAGCTAGCGCCCATATGACTTACTTCATTCCCTATGCGACCGAGTTGGTACAACCACACTCTCTTGACTGGCCAAATGCTGGTCTCCTTCGACGTACCCAATCTCTTATAATGGGCATGGTTCTTTGGGGTGCTTCGATGGCTTATGGTGCTATACACGTCGCGGCATGGCACTACTTCTTTCCTACTCCGCTCGAGCAACTCTTGTGGCGCTTGAGCTCCGTGTGGGTCACATTCTGCGCAGCCTTCTGGCTTGTTACAAATCTCCTCGCACATGCATTTCCAATCATCGATAGAGTTTGGGTCACTTACAACGAGCGCAGGCTGGGATGGCTCGGGACTTTTGTTATCACAATCTTGTGTGCGATATGTGGAGTGAGTTACATTATTGCTCGAGGTTATCTGGTGGTTGAGGCGTTTACGAGTATTAGAGAAGTGCCAACAGATGTGTATCGGACGCCATCATGGTCACAGATGTTTCCACATTTGTAGCGTGTTCCAGGGAACCGGCCGTAATATGCTAGACTTCTGCTATGCTACAGCCATATGTCGAAGTGCGTACCATGACACTTTGTTCATACAATCCCATGGAGATAGTATGAGCCAATCAGTACCGCGGTCTATAATCCTGCTGCTGATAACCATCTCCCGATTGATTGTTCTGGTAATTGCCTTGCTGCTGGTACGTGTCTCCTTGTTGCTGATAGTGACCTTGAGGGGGGTTGTGGTTCTGTTGATAGTCCTGAGGAGGTGGTGCGTATTGGTTCGGTCGATCGTACTGGGATTGTTGCTGGTACGACTGGTTTCCCTGCTGTGAATACGATCCAGATTGGTAATTCTGACTGTCTTGGTACTGTGGAGGCGCATTGTATCCTTGCTGTGATTGGTGTTGTCCGCCATACTGTCCACTCGGCGGTTCAGACTCGTGATGAGCGCCTGACGGAGGCATGGATTGCGTTCCGCCACCAATATCCGTGTTCGCAACCGGTGCTCCTACACTAACACCTTCGTTTCCAATATCGTCTGGTACCGTGATCTTGACATCGGGAAGGTATCTCTGTATCTTTTGCTCCACGATGTTTTGCACGAAGAACCAGCTTTCATGCTCAAGCTTCCGATGGCCACCATTTACAACTCCGAGAATGCTCTCGCGAAGTGTTTCTTGTACTTTTCTTACAAGATCGCGAATCTTGCCAACGAGTTTGGCTTTGATGTCGTCTCCGAAGCTCCGATCAGCCTGACCGCTAGCGTCCCGGTCGAGCTGTGAGTCGAAAGGATTGCCACCCAAGATCTTTTCAAGCGGAGCCTGGAACTGGTCTGGCAACAACTCAAACAGCTGCTTCTCGATCTCACCCAATACCTTTCGGAACTCGATTCGTACTTCTCTGTGCACCTTGGCAAGACCTGTGCTGAGCTTGTCGCTTATCATCTTTGAGAAACCGCCGCTGTCTCCATCGGATTGTCCATCACGATCTGGACCATCAATACCCCGCGAACCTTCCTCGTTAGACGACTTCTTGCCAAACAGTCCGCCAAAGCCTTTCACCAGATCCTTCACGCGGTCTTCGATTTCACCTTTTGCGCCGTCGCCGATGTCGCGTGTACTCGTGTTACCTCGTAGCCAGCGCTTGAGATGGTCTAAAGCGATCCGTGTAAACTGCTCTGCGATGTTTCCATGCTGTGAACGAAGCTTCTCGCCCACTCTATCCTTAATCTCTGGGCTGATGAGACGGGCCTTCTCTTCGGGGTTTCGAGATGCATCTTTGAGGGTGTTGCTGATTACACCAAGCATTCCTCCAATTTCGAAGCCGGGTTGACCAGAACCACCAGTGTTCTTCTCCAAGTGGTCTTGTACAGCATCAATAGCAGAAGATAGGAAGCCCCGCGCTCCGCCAGAGAAACCGGAATCCTGTGACCGGGCCTGGTCTGGGGAGCCACGATTCTCTGTAAGGTCGAAGATATCGCGCAAATCATCACTCGCTCCGTCAGAGAGCCTGCCGAAGCCCTGAGCCAGCTTCGAGATCTCATCGGCAAACGGCAGGGATTGGCCGCCGTAGGCATCTGGTGCTGAATCGTTGAGGTCCCTGGCAGAGGTATCACTCTTGTTCTTGTCGAACAGCGATCGGAACGCATCAATGACTTGTGTCTCTAGACTGTCGATGGTCTTTTGTTGGAACAGCTCCAGCTCGGACGCGATGCGGGGCTGGATCTGTGGGGCGAGCCCGTCGACATAGCCGTCGATTTGGTTGAACAGAGCTTCCGAGAGGGATGAGGATGACATTTTAAGAAAGGATTGCAGGTAGAGAAATTTCAGGTTAGTTAGTAGGCGTGAAGCGTACGAAATTGTTCCACGCCGCTTCAATGTAGATGTGGTCTAGCCCTCTACAGCAGGAAAGAGGTCGAGGTCGTACTTGCTTGCGTCATAGCACTAAGCCATAAGTAGACTAGTTCTGCCGCAATTCCGTGCTATTAACATAAATTATTCTCATCCATCAAGTTCCAAAGTTTCATTATGTTTCAATTGGGGTCATCCAAACTTAGGATTTTATGCAAATTTCACGGTCCATGGTCTGGACATATGCAATCTTGAGCATGTTGACTTTCATTTGGTCTTCATACTGTGATATCTTTTGAACTTCTTTCCTCGCTGTCTCCGTTCTGGTGAACATCTTGAAGAAGGCAGCTGCTGAAAGCCCGCCGAATCGAGGTAGAGTTTCGGTAAGATTTTCAGCCCTTCTTGTCAAGCCTCGAGTCTAGACATCATAAGGCGACGGCACAGCCTTAGACTCCGGATGGTTCTCCTTCCACGCCTCCCAGTACTTGATGAACTCTTCCTTGGAAATTGCCGCCAGATACTGCAGTACATTCTATTTACCGAGATTATACGCCTTAGCAATCAAATACTCAGACAGCGCCTGCACATGCTCCGGCCTCAATTCCTTATTGTCCAACCTTGCCACAATGAACGACCCATGTGCTAGGAGCGTCTCAGAGGAGTTGTTTGTCTGCTCTACCGGGTCGCTAGAATGGGAGAATATTTAGGACACGAGCAAGTTGAAGTGCGGCGCTCCGCTAGCTAGCTTGCCGTCGAAGCGTCGGCCGCGCCAGCTGAGCGCAGACGGGCTCTTTGCGAGTATGAGTTTGAGGCCGAGTGCTTTTGCGACGGGATAGATGACTGTGGCGTTTGTAGGAGTGAACAGGCCTGTGTGTGTGGTGATGGCCTCGAATTCTGGGGCGCCGAAGACGATCTGATCGCCAACGCAACTCACTCTTACACACCTGCTACCCTGACTGCTGATCTCTCCATAATACGCTCGCACAGTATTGTCATACTTAATGCGAAAGTTATCCACGAGATGTCGTAAGTCTTCGAGATCGAGATCGGCGGGCTTGTCGGGCTTGTCGTTAACATATTCGATGCCATATGAGAGCATCGGGCCCCTCATGATCTCGCCTAGCTCTTTGTCGATCTTCTCAAGGCTCTTCGGTGGTTGGCCGTGGGTCTCTTGAATCCGGTCGCGGAATGCGGTTAAGATGACCTTGTCAAGCGGACGCTTGAGCAGGACGCTGATCTCGACTTCCTTTCGGACTTGCATGCCGACAGGGTTGGCAAGTATAGGCAAAATGTTGACCTGGAACTCTCCGTCTAGACCTCTCCTGATGTGTACCCAAACGATTCGAGGCTTCTCTTCATCCTCTGCGAAGAAGATGCCGCGATAATGCACTGGACTGGGGCGCTGAATGTCCTTGAAGCCGGCGGCGAAGGAGCTGCAGAGCAGCTTATGGACGGTCCAGTCGGCCTTCTGGCACACGTTTGAGCAGTAACGGATGGCGCCGCAACCCGTGCAGTTGTTCATGCTCAGATTCGTGCACATGGCGCAGTGCTTCGTGTTGGTATCGGTCATGGTTGCGGTTGGCTCAAGTTGGCAGGCTCTCGGAGCAGTTGACACAAGTCGGGGTTACATGGCTGTAGATGAGGCTTTTATCTACAAAAAATATCTTCGCGCACGTGGTGGCGGGCAAACGCCTGTGGTCCACCTTCACCCAGTGCGTGGAACCGTGTAGTAAGCGATACCGGCACCGAACTCACAACTTAACTCCACCTCACCTTGTAGAACGAGCACGATGCACTAAAAAGATTGTAGTATTTATATTGCGTGACATGATCGCTCTAAGCTGCTTTGGACTGAAATGCTGGAAACATTCGAAATTCGGCGCATTTGCGTCCGAATAGACACCATCGATGACATTACATACTCTTGATCTGAAAGAAAGCATATGCCACATGAATAGAAGATCTCTCTAGATCTCTGGCCTAGGTGTGATAGACCTGAGCTCCGTAAACCCTGAGCCTTCACTCGCTCTCGCCCATCTCTTCATCCATATCGGAATCGCCCTCATCAGTCTCTGAGTCGGTTTCGATATCGAAGGGTGAGGGAATCAGAGCGGTCTGGATTGATCGCGTCTTCCAAGTAGTTGTATACCACGTTTGGAAGTCTTCCTTTGAGACCTGGCTGATGCGGTCGGCTAGCAGCTCCTCGGCAAGGAGGCAAGCGTCGATGGGATGATTGGGATCCTTCAATTTCGTAGCAGTGTATGAGATGAGAGCCTGAACGTGCATGGGGTGGAGACGCTTGCCATCTTTGCGCACAAGGATGAGAGAGCCAGTGTCTCCGGTTTGATCGGGCGGGTTCAGCATAGCGGCGCGGAAGTTCTTGACGCGGTAAGGTCGACGAGCATCGCGCCACACCACTGCAGGTGGCATCTTGCGGACGATGAGCGGCATACCGATCCTGTCTGCAACGGGAGTAACTACATCGGTGTCCAACTCGAGCGTGGATCTAGGCTCAAGCACAGCTTCGTGTATTGGCCGGCCAACGAAATCAGTGTCGCCCATGCAATTGAGCCGAACAGCCTTGATAGCCTTCGATGGTCCACCTTCAAGCGTGTGTCGGGTGTCATCTTCGCATTGGCAGTAGAGCATACGTAGATTGTCGACGACGTGCCGGAAGTCGACTGGTCCAAGGTCGAGATCAGAGGACTTTTTATTGAAGTCGGCTTCGCAGTGAGTACCAAACGCGAGGAGGGGACCACGAAAGAAGTCGGCGAGCTCCTGGTCAACCTTTATAAGACTGCCGTTCGGGTCTACATCCGTAGTGCAGCAAGGACAGAGATTCTTCGCCTCAGGCAAAGAGACAAGAATGTGATGCGGCTCAATATGACGATCGAGCATGGGATTCGTAGCAAACTCTTCAAAAGCGTGTGCCTTGATGCGCTCCTTGCTGACACCGAGCGGTGCTAGGTCCTCCAGGGTGGGGTAGTTGTGGCCAGATTCGAAGTGTAGCCATATGAAGCGCGGGTTTGGTTCATTTGGACTGAAGTAGATGGCACTATGATGGTCGAGGTCTGGTCGAGTTGTACCGAACTGTGTATAGTGCTTGCAGATGATCTTGTGAACCGGCCAGTCCATCTTCTGACACTCGGACGAACAGTAGTGAATGGACTTGCATCCGCTACACACTAGTTTCCCGGTCTTATCGCATGTAGTGCATTGGGCAAATGGAGGAGAAGATGCCATATTCAGCAATCTAGTTCGGCCACAGCTGAGAAAATTGAGGGTATGACACGTTGTGACACGAAGAGGCTGAGCAAGTAGGTCTTTGACACGAAGATTATGAGGTGAGGAAAAGAGAAAGAGTTAGGCATAGAAAAGGTATGACGCTAGAGTGGGTCCAGCTCAGGTTGAGGAAAGAGCACCCACGCCCGACGCGTCGCGCCCGCGCTGTCACGTGCGCCGATATACCCGTTCACCTCCCGCCCTAAATCGCAGAAAAGATTTGCCCGCTACAAGCAAACATCCAAGCAAGTCCCCAGCATCAGCCGCCTTCCTCTAATCGCGTGGTGCCCTCAAACTTCCTCAGCAGGTTCCGCGTTCTGACCACGCATGTCTTCGTAGCTCAACACCGTGTAAGCCAGATCTGGGATCTCCTTCAGAGCTTTTCTGAGATCCGGATCAGCGTCCAGACAGTACTTCCGCTTTTCCTCCGAGACGCGTTTGACAGCAAGATCGCGAAGTCCAGTATCCGTATCGGGCGTTGTGGTGAAGACGATGTTGATTGCTTCATAGAAACTCTTGGCTGCGAATGAAACTTCCAAACACTCCTCAAACTTCTCGCAGGCTAGTGCTTTCAACCCCTTTACGAAGTACCTGTCGGCGAGGGCATAGATCTTGGCATGAATGTTCAGGTCCTTGTCACCGGTCGGCGGACTGCTAGGCTGGCGATACGTCTCAGATTTCTCGTCGCAATAGCCGTTGACAATTTCGACGACATCGCGCTTCAACTTGAGGAGTCTAACACTTCGGCCGATGCGGAGAACTTTGCCTTGGTATTTCTATACCAAATCAGTTCAAATAGCGTAGTTCTTGATGCCATTTACAAACCTCTAGCAGACCCGGGAACTTCTCACGCAGCGTTTTCATAGCTTCGGAGCTATGTTCATATAATGCAACTTCGAATCCTCGTAGCGTCTTTCGGTACATGATACTACTGCTCTTTGCGACGTTTTCAAAACCGAAGTCTACCCAGTGCGGACCAGGCACATCATCAGATGGTAGCCGGTAATTGCGTTCGTACATGAACCGAAGCATGTACTCGACGATCTCAGGATCATCCTCAGTCAAGTCGATCTTAGCTTCTTCCGCTTCCTGAACACCTATCAGCAATGTAGACCCATGAAGCGCAGATAATTTGCATACTTTGCCAAACCTGCTCGCAGCTTCAATGGTATCTGACTGAGAGCACACGATCGCCTTGTGGACCTTCCACTCTCGACCTTGACAAGTGATCGTGAAGTCCGAGAACTTGCCGGTGTCGAGCAACCTGTCTGTGTTAGCATTGCCATTGTGTCTGGCATGACGAGCGGATAACTCACGACTTGAGGTCTGCGAGGAAATCATCATGCTTCCGCTTCTGAGCCATGATGATATTGTTTGTTGGCTTAATCGATGGTGTTGCAGATGTGATAAAGGTGGTCGTGGGATGAAGGTGGCAGACAGAAGCCGTAATAAATGAGTATCTACTAGCGAAAGTATGCAGGACTTTGCCACCTTCACCTTGAACTCAAGGTAAAGGGACCGCAGGTGAATGAGTATTGCTCAGCGCGGCTGCGTCATCAGCCTGTAACAAGCAATTTTCAAACATTGGAGCTGATTGAATACATAGCATTACTGTGTGCTATACATAGGTCGCCCATCAATTCCAAGCGAGCTGTATCCAACTCAATTCAGCCAGATTCGCAATGCCATGTTAAAGTCCCAAATGCGGGCTTCATCGAACAAAAGGGTATCATGGGCGTTCCAATTACGTCGCGATCATCCACCATGCGCAACCGATCCAGACTGCTGCCACAATAATCGTGACGATCGCAGCTCCGGCCTTGTCAGCCGTGGTGATATCCTCGTGGAAGATTGGCAGCCTCTTCGAGTCGTCTTGAGTATTTAAGCCCGGGTTGCCTTGACTGGTTCCGCCAGTCTTTCCTGTGTATGGCGCTGGTGCGCGGGCGGCGTTCAGCACGCTGATAATGTTGAGCGCGCTCATCTGGGGCCCGACACCATATTTGCCGTCGTAGCCATCCATGTACCATCTCATGCCGCATTGGAAGTCGCCACCGTTGTGCTGTGATAATCCGTTGCAGGTCTGCGCTGCTCTCACGGCCGTCTTTTCAAGTTCGGGCATGATGATGTCGTACGTGAATGGTGCCATCTGTATAGATGTTCCGAGCCAGCGACCGAGGTATGCCTTAAAACTCTCTTGATCCGCGTTACAGATCGCGAGTTGTTCGCAGGGTTCCACCATGATGCCGCCTTTGTCCGGGGGATAGAACATATCGTGGCTCTTGTTGATATAGTTTGTCAGTGCCTTCTTCCACTTTTCGGCGCCATTTGTATAGTTGTACATCTGCAGGCATTAGTGCTGTAACCTCACCCTTGATCTGGTCTGCTTACATATGCCGTTCCTGCAATCATGATACCGTAGTTGTATGTCCACTGGGTATGATCCGCGTCTTTGCACATTGGTGTGGTCTCGATCGATGTACCATCGTTGACGGTGCCGTCCTCGGGGTTGAGCAATGGGCTAGCGGCCATCCAGTCGTAGGCTTTCTCCGCCCAAAGCGCATACGTATCGTTCTTCGTGTACATTGCCAGTCTGGCGCCGAGATGGAACAGGCCCCCGTTGGAAGCCGTGTTCTTGTACTTCCAGCCCTTCAGCCATGGATAAATCTGCGTGTACATTCTAATCAGCACAAGTTCCCCGGACTTCTCGTGGCGTACTAACCTGCCATCGCATCCCGCCCCCACAATTGCCATCCGCGACCTCCTTCTGATACCTGTTAAGAAACTGGTTGAAGACGGATTGTGTCATGGCTAGCCATCCGGGCTGCCCTTCCGGAGGGTCGGGGAGCTTGTACTCGGCTGCAGCGATCATTGAAAAGGCCCAGAAGACTTGGTCATCGTTGCCTTCGTTTTTCGATTGATTCGATGGCATCTATCAGACGTTAGTGCCATTGCTCAAGATATGAAGCCAACCAGAAGGGCATTGTCTCAGCAATTACTGGTCATAGCAACACATACCAGATCGAGGTTCTCGCCAAAATTGTGAATCAGCCCCTCGCGAATCATGTCATTGTACTGGTCGTCGCCCGTGTAATGCCAGTAGTCCAAGAGAGTGCCGAACATAGCGCCGGCCTGCCACCAGTAATACGGCGGATACAATATGCCAGGATAACCACCGAGGACATTGATGCCCTTTTCGTTACGAGTCGCATACTGCGCAACGAGCTGTTTCGCGACCAGTGAAGAAACATTCTTGATCGATTCTGGCGAGCCTTGTTAGCGACAATCGAATTGGATTGACGAGCAGAGCATATGCACCAGGAGATTTCGGATCCAGTTGCAAAGCTCCTACATATTGTCGCACAGAAGAAAGCGACAGTAAAGTGAGCGCCGCTAGCGCTTGTGTAGGGCTGAAGAGCTTCATTGCGAGGCCAACATGTGGATGCGCCTCAATCGGTAGAGGTGATGGAAAGACGCGACCCCGCAGACGTGCGAGAAGGTGGGGAAGGTGCGAGCAAAGAGACTAGACTGAAACGCGAATGAGAGTGAAAGAGTGACAGAGTGATGTAGGAAAGGCAGGTACAGTCCAACTTGGGCTAATTGCTGTACCACAAGGAATGTGGTGCAGAGCGGCGCGGTGGTTATCACGACGTAGTGCGCCGCCCGTTTATCGCTTTCAGGCATCCCAATGCGTACTACTATAATTCGCATTCTGCTCATGCAGGAGGGTTGCCTTGCAGGGCGTAAGCACGCGAGTGTAGTACGAAGGATGGCGAATCACATCTAGAAGGGCTCCCAATTTCACGATCAGCAGCGAATGCTGATTGACTGCGCACCGTCTCGCATCGGAACACGGCACAGCGAGAGATCCTAGTCGTTCAAATCGGCCTACAAATAGTGAGTGATACGAATGATTCCCGAGAGGGAGGGGCGAGGGTGGCTCAGCGCATCCTGCAGAGGTGTTGATTAGGTCCCGAAATCCAACGAGCGAAGCCTGGGGCGCATCGATGGGGTGCACCGATGGAGGCCATCATAATGCAAACAGATGCGGTAGATGCGGTAACAATCGTTCGAAGTCACACGGGACCTGTGCACAAGACATTTGCTAAGGAGCTTGTGGAGTGCTTGAATGCAGAAGTGCTCCCAAGAGGAACCTGATCAGCCTTGCCTAGCCGCTAAGACGTTCACGGCATAACGCTTTCGCGCGCGCCTGGTGGTTCGCGTACACGAATGTAGTAAAGTATGAAACAAATGGTATGTACTTTTGATAGGTCGGTGACTACATCCTGAATACGCCCCATGTGCTCTCCTTCTCTACGCCCGTGTTCTGGCCGCCACATGCCATCTGCAGACCCATGCCGAGCACTCGCCGGGTGTGCTCAGGAGGAATGATGCCGTCGTCCCACAGCCTTGCAGACCCGAATGTTGCTTCGCTCTCGTGCTCGATACGTGCCTTGAGCGCAGGATCAGCTTGCTTACCAACAGCCTCCATAACCGAGGAGAGCTGTTCGGCGCCCATGACAGAGGTCTTTGCATTTGGCCAAGTGAAGAGAAGACGGGGAGAGTATGCGCGACCACTATGAAGCGATTAGCACGAGCTCAAAACATCTGTTGAAGGTGAATTTGACTTACCACATGCCGTAGTTACCAGCTCCAGCGCTTGATCCGATGACAACAGTGAACTTGGGAACATCCACACAGCTGACAGCTGTGACAAGTTTTGCTCCGTTCTTTGCGATTCCACCCTTCTCCGCATCTTGTCCAACCATGAAGCCGGAGATGTTCTGGAGGAATATCAAGGGAATGTGACGTTTACCACAGAGCTGTACGAAGTGTGCACCCTTCAGCGAGCTCTCGCTGAAAAGGATACCGTTGTTTGCGACAATACCAACAGGCTGACCATAGATCTTTGCAAAGCCAGTGACCAGCGTTGATCCGTAGAGCGGCTTGAACTCTGAGAATGAAGATCCGTCAACAATACGCGCAATGACCTCGTGAACAGGTATTTGTCTACGCAGGTTGGTGCCTGCGATTCCAGAGAGCTCTGTGGTGTCGTATAGGGGCTCTTTGAAGGCCGGCGGTGCGGCGAGGGTGGTCTGATTGCGATGCCAGTTGAGGTTGCCGACACTTCTCCGCGCAAGTACAAGAGCGTGTGCATCGTCTACTGCGAGATAGTCTGTGACACCTGAGATCTCGCTGTGGAGCTTGCCACCACCAAGGTCTTCGGCAGACACAACCTCGCCCGTCGCAGCCTTTACCAGTGGTGGACCAGCGAGAAAAATGTGTCCCTGGTTTTCGACAATGATGTTCTCATCACTCATACTGGGTACGTAGGCACCACCTGCCGTGCAGGGCCCCATCACCACACTGATCTGTGGTATTCCCATGCTTGACATGCGTGCTTGGTTGTAGAAAATGCGTCCAAAGTGATTGACATCTGGGAAGACATCTGCCTGGTTTGGCAGGTTAGCACCGCCTGAATCGACCAGGTAGATGCATGGCAGTCGGTTTTCCTGCGCAATTGTTTGGGCGCGCAAATGCTTCTTTACAGTTACCGGGTAGTATGTGCCGCCCTTCACAGTGGCGTCATTGGCCACTACCATGCACTGCACTCCATTTACAGTACCAATACCGGTGACAATGCCACCTGCTGGCACATCTTCTCCTTGGTACATGTCGTATCCAGCCATCTGGCTCAATTCCAGGAACGGGGTGCCAGGGTCGATCAGCGCCGTTATCCGGTCGCGGACCAACATCTTGCCTCGTTGTATGTGCTTGTCCCTTGCCTTCTGAGGGCCTCCCTGTGCAATCTTTGCGTGCAAATCGACCAAGTTGTTCGTTGCCTCTTCCATCTGGCGCTTGTTCTCTTTGAAATCGGCTGAGCTAGTATCGACTGCAGTAGGAATGATTGAGACGGCTTCGGCATGGTGCGAGTGCGTAAATGTGGCTGCATTTCTTGAACTTTGGTAGTTTGAGGAAATGCGTGGACTGCGCGGGCCCATCGGACGGGATGAAGAAGAGAGTAACCGGCATTGTGCTTGTGTTCCAACAGCTCTCGAAGGTCGGACGGTATTTTTGAGGAGGGCCAGCGCTTCGCGTGAAGGCGCTTTAGGAACCATTATGAGTTGGGACCCAAGGTCTCTACTATAATACAGATATCAGACCGTGTTTGTCTACGTGTTTACGTTCTTCATACCTTTATTTGTACGATAGGCTTCAAGGACGAGTACCTCAGCAAGCGACACCGGTCGTTTGCGTGTGACAAATACGAGTTACAGAGGAAGTACAGGACACGATATTCGAGACTTTACGGTTCGGCAGCAGCGCTGTTGTGCCGAAGTCTGGGGTTGAAGCATACAGCTTGGAATGACACGATAAGCCCGCTGGTAGCCGTACCGCGGCTCTGCGGGGAAAACACGCTAGTCGCAACTGAGGAGGCACCTTCACGAACAGCCTCAGCGACACCATCAACAGGGATTCTTTGCTTGGTCATTGAACAATTCTTCTAACGGTGGTACATGTGACTTGGCCCATGTCGTGGCTTCATCTATCAAGGTTATGAATACTCAGTCCCATGTTCAATCGTCAGCCCCTTCACAGCTTCCCGCTCTCAACCGGTACCTCCACGACCTGGTCCAGTCCTTCATACTTTGGAATATCCAGATTGTACTGCTCTGCCATTTCCGGACTCAAGAAGCGTCCCCCGAGGAAGTGCCTGCCCTTGAAATGCTTGACGAGCGGCTTTGGTGCGGTCAGACTGATGAGCGCAGGCGGCATGAACCCCTTGCCTGGGCCAGATTCTGGCGGACCGTCTTCAATGCTCCATGATGAGGGTGCATCAACTGCTAGGACTGGGATTGACGTAGACTCCAATGCTTCGATGACCTTGGGGAAAGGTTCACGAACTTCACCAGAAAAGGAGAAGCCGAAAATGGCATCCACAACGTGATCAGTCTGCTTTAAAGCGCCGGGGAAATCTTCAGTGAAGGGTACTTTTAGGTCCTCGAGTTGCTTCCTTAGACGCTATAGCACGTCAGAACCATGCACAGCCTCATGGTCTGTCTTTGGCTTCACAGCAACTTACCTGGTACAGTTCATTCTTGCTCTGCTTCGGGTAGTAAATGGTCGGCTGGTATCCGTAATGAAAGAGGTGTCGCGCAGCAACGAGCCCATCACCTCCGTTGTTACCTGGACCGCAAGCGACCAAGATTCTCTTGCCCTTGTTCAATGGCTGGAGCTTGAAGACTGACTATGATTAGTCGAAGGCTAGACACTCGAGTCGTGAAAATGATGCTTACCTGCTTGTGATACAGACAGACCAGCAAGCTCCATCAACTGGTCGATCGAAAATGCACCTGAGGACATGAGCTCTTGATCGAGTGCTGCAGCGCTCTTGGCTGAGAGTGTCTAAAGTCTTATCAGCATATTTTCCCTACATTCAGTGGGATCTTGATCATACTCGGAGCGCCATGATTCAGCAGTACTGGATGTGTATGAGTGCTGGAGGTGTCTCCAAGGTGTCGCGATTACATCACCGCATCACGAATGCTCAAAAGGGCAACTACACCTCTTTCCACGACCACACCCAGTACGGAGCTCCAAACCCAGCGCGAGGCACAGTATAGGCTCAGGCACTCCAAAGAAAAGCCGACTTCAATTCATGTATACAGTAGAGTGCGGAAATTCAACTCTTCCGCACGTGCTCTCCCACCCCATCGGCAAATCCTCGGCCCATCCCAAAAGTTCCATCCCAACCTTCAACCTCACCTCAGCCAGCATCGCAAAGCCCACACCCACACAACACAATGGTATTACGGATACGCCTCGCCCGCTTCGGCAAGAAGCACGCTCCTTTCTACAACATTGTCGTCGCGCACGCCCGGTACGTCCCATGCCCAATCTCCACTCCCGCTGCGGGAATCCGCAAACTCTCCCGCCTGCACGCGAGACTGCTCTTATACACACGATCAACCCACTAACCTCCCCCTCCAGCACCGCCCGCAACTCGCGCCCCCTCGAAGTCCTCGGCACCTACGACCCCAAGCCGCAACCGCCCCGCCCCGGCGACACGCACGGGCGGCCGTGGAAAGACATCCGGCTGGACATATCGCGCGCGCGATACTGGGTGGGCGTGGGCGCGCAGCCGAGCGATACGGCGTGGCGGTTACTCAGCATGGTGGGGATTCTGGAGCCGCAGTTTCGCGTGGGACAGGTGCAGGGACAGGTGGTTAGGGCGGATTCGGCGGCGAAGAGTTTGATTCCGGAGAGTAGTGGGGAGGGAGTGAAGACGAAGGAGGGCTGAAGTTGAGGGATTTGTGGGAGAGGGTGAGATGGTTGGAAAGGTGGTTGTACGCTTGACTTGGTTGCGGAGAAATACAAGCGGGGGAAAAGCGTCCAAGGCGGACTGTTTTGCCAACATTTCTCTCACAGAGAACCCTACGGTGGCCGCTGCAGCGAGCATGGCGGTTGTAAGATATGAGAACATGGTGGAGCAAGCATCCAAGCCGAACAGCGGTTTCTGGCACGTGAATATAAGGCACGAAAGATGCGAGTTCTGCACTGCCAGAGACAATCTCAAAACCCACCAACAATGACCAGAGTATGATCGCGCGGCCGAGGCGAACATTGGGTGCATCATCAGGTAGTTGCTCGATAGTTGTATTGGTCGTTTCACTTGTTGACACTGATGAAGTCGACAGCACTGTCATATTCATTCCATCCCGACTCCAACGAGTTCTCCCAGTGCAGTGCTGATAATGAACATGTGTGGAATTGATGTGAAGTAGCAGCCCAAAATCAGAATGTATGCATCACCATCACATCAACATTGCTAGCTTAGATAGTATCTTTGATGGGTTTCTATTCCAAACTACACATTGTTTGCACCTGATCCTACATGCTCCGCCGCGGCGTTTTAATGTCTTCGCAGCATCGCCCATATACACCTCCAAAGCACGCGCTTCTCGCGTGTTTACCCAATACCAAAGCATCGTCCGCGATGGACTTGAGCTGTGTGATGGCCCAATGATAGAAGGAAATCCAGGACACCGGCGCTGTCTGTTTTGCGCAGCAAGTATAACAAAAAGGTAAAAAGTACAAGAGAGCCAAAGAAAAGAAGGTGGTGGGCGAAGGTAGAGAGGTGAATAGGGTAGACAGTTAAAATTAAGTAAGGAAAGAGAAATAAATCGACCGCAATAGTCCGGGTATCGTGCGGAAGTTTATGGAATGCCGAGAAGTGTTCTTACATCACCCAACAATCAACTCGGACAATGGCAACTCCAGCGTTGAGAAGCAGACGGACGTTCGCCCTCAAAATGAAGTCTTCAAGAGACCAGGAATACAACTGACAAGACACAGTCAAAAGGAGAGTCATGGCATGGTCGTTAAAGCGCGCAGAGAGCCAGTCTCTTTTTACAGCAAGATGAGGTAATTGCTGGGCGCGATACCGGTCTCGCCATTCGGCTTCTTTGCCTGCCACCATCGCCCGCTGACGTCGGAGACTTCGAGGATGTCGTGCTTCTGGAAGCTGATTTCGTTGGCATCGTCGGGGTTGGCCTCGTAGCTGTAGATGGCCTTGGCACGGTAGGGGTACTCGATCGAGGCTTCTTGTTGTTGCGGCTCGTCGTTGTTGGGGGCTGCGGTGTTGCTCATGCCCATGCCACCGAACTGGGGCGCGGACGAGTTGCGGCCTTGGGCACCTGCGGGGCCGCCGGGGTAGCCGGAAACGGGCGAAGATGTCTCGAAGCCGTTGAGCTGGGCGGATGTGTACATCTGAGGCGCTTGCTGGTTGACCTGGGTCTCGGGGCGGTTCATGTAGCCGTTGGAGATGGGACGTGACGCGCGCGAGCCCGGGTGCTCCTTGTGGAGGGCATACGAGTCGACAAAGGCGCGGTGGCTGGCCTGGGGCTGCGAGCCGTAGTAGAAGATCCATACAATCTGGGGGGTGTTAGTGGTGGTGCGGGACAAGGCGCATGCAGCACTTACGGCAATCATGGACAGGAGAATGAAGCCAGCAGCGGCAGCCTCGAATGATGCAATGGGCGAGTAAACGAGGGAGTTAACGGATGAGGTGGTGAAGACGAGTCCAGCGCCGAGGAAGCCGACAATCTGTCTGAATCAGCAAGAGCATCGGTGAGTGCAGCTCCAGCTCCACGTACCGCGACATGGTAGGTCCTCTCAGCCTCGGAGGCGACCGTCACCGTCACACCAATGATGCAGAAGAACATGAAGACAATGGTCCACCAGGCATAGTTGGGGAACCGGGCATCGCTGCCCTGGGTGGCCGATATTATGGAGCTGACGAAGGCGATTATCCAGGCAAGCTGCGCGTTGTTAGCACTCACTCGGCAACCACGACGGGGCACTGACTATGGCGATGGAGATGGTGGCGAGCGCAAAGGGATCCCCAATGATGCGGCCGACGCTGAAGGTCGACCGCTGGCCATAGGTGTGGCCGTTTTCCATTTTGCGCAGCGACGGGGTACTCTGCGAGCCGTACGAGGGCATAAGTTGGCGGGCGCGGGAGGGAGGGAGTCCTGGAGCGAAGTAGTGAGGGTTGGGGGGCCGTTGGCGGTGTCGGTGTCGGTGTCGTGAATGCTATGAATGGAAGCGGGAGTGGAAGAGAAGAGAAGAGAAGAGCAAAAGAGCGTGGACGTGAAGGATGCGCCGTGTCAAGGTCTGGGCCAGCGACGATGATGGGGCTTGGGGGCGGCTGTATGCGGTCGGGCACGTCTGTCTGGGCGGAGGGTGGCAGCAGCAGTGCAACAGCCAGCAGCCAGCAGTTCTCGCGTGGATAGAAGAGAGTGCGACAGGCGTTGGCGGCGGCGGCAGACAGCAGACGGCAGACAGAGCGCGGGACGAGGCGGGTTTCCGGTGTGTTGGGGTGTCGAGGGCCTTTTGGGAGGGAAATGAGCTGCGCAGGTTGGTCCAACATGCGACGGTTTCAGGGCCGCCCAGGGGCTTGTTCTCGATTGGCCCGACTGTGGGGGACACTTTAAAATGGCAGCACGTCAGCCTGTGGCGCGCCGAACGCACTCCACTCGTACACGAACACGCGCGTCTAGCAGCCAGCTGGAAGGCCAGCCACTCAACATTGGGACAAAGAGCCGTCCTTCCGCTTCTGCACCACACGTTTGCGGCCAGCGGTCGACAACGAATCCAGCCTGTTTGCAATCCCGCCTGTCGTGCCTGCACGCCCACGGCATTGGCATGTGGCGTCTTTTGGCTAATTTGGCCTTGCCATTATGCACTCGTCCACTCTCCGAACCATCATCACTAATACCCCCGTCACCGTCCAGACTCGGTCTTTTCCTCATGTCGCCCTGCTTGATTATTCTCGTAATTCGGCTTTCCGCCCAGCTCCGAGTGGTTCCTCCACTTTTCATCTTGCACATATTGGCCGCTACCCCGGTTCTCCCACGTTTCCCAGGCAGGACCATGGCAGAATGCCAGCACTGCAGCACCCGCACGTGTGCCATGGCCCATCTGGGGACCTGGCCAGGTAGCTGCAGCGTCCCGTGCACATGAGCAAAAGACACTGCAGCAGCGCTTTCTGCAGCTTGCAAATATTTTCTGAGACATAGCTGAAACACGGTGCAACGGCTACCTCGAGCCCGCGCCTCAACGAGCACTCTACATTGACATCACTGTGGCTGTTGAAACAACAAGCGCGAATCACAGCAGCGGATTCATCTGGAATGCTATGTCATTAGCTGTCCTGAGACCTGCCATGTGCGTTCCTGATGCGAACCGTTTCTGCAACGCCCGTCAACTCCAATCGAGCCCTGCCTTTGTGACAATTCTCTCTATCTGCCTGACCACCCGCGTCATAACAGGTGCTTTTCCTTCGGATCCCAGCGCTGAAAGTTGCCGGCAATATGCAAGCTGCGTGACGGAGCTGCATGTACAGCTTTCATCCGAGATCCACGCCTGTGCCTAGATACGCGAACTTGACCTCGTCCACCTGACCGATTTATGTGTGGAGTAGTGGAGAGTGTGTCACAAGATCTTGCCGTCGTAACAACGCAGTTGATCTTGTAAATTGGTATCCTCCATCTGTTAGGCATTTGGTAGTCACCCTCGATCCAACTCGGCACTGTCAACTGTGTCAGGGACGGGTGGCTTGTTTCATGGACCTGGGCTTGAGGTGAACATACCTCACTATTCCCGTTGATATGCCGATAACGCCCGTGGTCCTGCTCGAACACGTGGAGTTGCTTATGACACCCTGTGCACTCCAGACCCCGTCTTCCCCAGCCGGGCTCCAGGCTCTCCATATTGGGTCGTGGTTATCCTAATCGAGACTGACTTTAAAGCTCTTCGTCCTCCGACTCTTCGTCCTCCGACTCTTCGTCCTCCGACTCTGATCCATGCTCCTCGGCAGCCCCCGCTTCCGCATCGTCTGGCTTCCTCTTAAACTCCTCCCTCTCCACGGCCTTCATGGCCTCGGTGAGCCTCTGGTGGTAGTCGACCCAGACTCTGGCCGCGCCGAGGATATGTATATGCTTGTAGCTCATGTTGATCATGCCGTTCCGTCGACGCAGCTCAGAAATCTTCAGCGCCTGCTGCAGCTGCCGTTCTTCAAACTCAGCAATTCGAGGCCGAAGCATGGCGAGCTTTGTGAAGCCATCGGTCGCAGGTATCTGTTGGTCGTCGAGTGCCTTGAGCTGTGATGCCACAGTCGCAAAGCCCGTGGCGCGCTCAACGACTAGAGCGGGCCTTCTGTGAAGTGTCGAGGGGAACGTCCTTGGCGTAGTCATCTTGCGGCTTGAGGACATCTTTGTGCTTGCTCACTGCACTTGTAAGCTCAAGCTACGATTATCTCCCAGCATGTTCAGCATA